GAGCTTTGCATAGCAAGTATATATCTTATCACTAAAGAGAAAAATTAAGCCAGTTAGTCTAGGTGTGTTTTTATTGTGAAAAGTCTAAAGAATAAAGATTAAAAGAACCTAGCAATTAAGTGTCAAGATTGCATTCCCAAAATATTCACCACCTGGCATTGATCAATTCCTTAAATAAACAGATACCAAAGATAAGAAGAAAAATGATCCTATATTTAGAATATGTATTTTGTTCTAGTTTGGAGCTTTGTACATCCAAGTATGATCTCAGAATAACAATGAGGCCAATGAAGACAACTTCGAAATCATAAGCTCTCTAGAATAAGCAAGGATAGAAGATATGTTCTATTATAATTACGTAAGTTGACTCAACATCCAACCACAGGACTTTAACATGATTTTCTTTTCTCTGATATTATAGGAATCAATCTACAAGAACTAAGGAATACACAAAAAATGATTAGTACTTTGGAGTTCCTGTTATTTGCCTAGATGGTCTAGAGAGTAGTCCTTGAAAATTACATTTAGCGTTGACAAGCATCAAATTTCTACATTTAAATGATTTGGAAAAGAGAGTTTTGTTCTGGCTGCCCTCTTTATAAAAAAAAAACCCAACAAAACAGAAAGAAAAAAAAAAAAAACAACTAAAAATATCCTCACTGAATGAATTCATTTTTTTTTTTTTTTAGCAAATCACCACTTTAGTTTGAATATCCAGAAGAATAAATTATATTTGATCAACACACAAGATTTAATGAGTTATAATTGATTTTACATTTGTTCACTGCACAGTGTCATTTCAATTGTATGAACCAAAAATCAACTTAAAGTCTGCAAATAGCATGAACAACAAATCTTTAACTATTGTAGATAAGACATAACTCTAACGATTTTGGATAAATAATCTAAAGACAGAAGTACTGATTAAAATAGGTAGCTATTTATTTAGTTCAAAGAATTCTACAGGGGAGCATAAAATTAAAAAAAAAGGAATAAAATACTTTAAATATTTCCTTGTTATAATGAACTAGAGGCCCAATGCATGAATCCTTGCAATAGTAGGCCTTCCTTCCCCTGGCTGCCAACACCAGCTTCCCTCTGGCACTGGGGACCTGGCTTCCCTTGCAGTCCCGGCTTTGTTCTAAAGGTTGTCCAGAAGGATGACCGGTCTAATTAGCATATTACACTTTTATTATTATAGATTGGGAAAGGCAAAAATCACTATACTTCTATTTTATTGTAGGTAGCTAATTTTGGGAGTATATGTACACAGTATCATTTGATCTTCAAAATGTAACATCCCAAAGAAACACATGCTGTTTTTAAGAGAAAACTGGGGCGGAGCAAGGTAAAGTAACCTGTCCCCAGTTATATCGCCCAGGGTGTTCTGGTGCCACAGCCTGTTCCCTCAGCCACCGCTGTCTTTCCAATAATGAAAATTATTGGAAAGACACATCACTTTCAAAAACAAAGAGGATGAGGCTTCTATTGGCAGATTTCATAAGTCACTTAAGATGGGAAGAAATCAGAATTCTTTCTTTATCATTACACATAGTTCAGATGGAGGTGTATATATATGTGGGAAACAAAACATAGGGAGGGTCAGATTAGACTTGTTGAACTAGAAAATAGCTACAAAGTTTAGCACTTTTATATATCTAAACGTAGGGGGCAAAAAGGACAATATAAAGCTCCCACTTTGTGTGCACAACAGAAATCCCTCTTAAGGCAGAACCTAAAATGGGTACAGACATGCAGTGTCTTAGAAACTATAAAGATGTCTCATAATCTCTTTTACTATTTTAAAACAGAAAAGTTTCATGTGCTCAGAGAAAAAAAAAAAAGCTACATGAACCAAAAAGTCTGACTTTTTTCGTGTAATGACTCAATGCTATTTGGTAATGTATGCAATTAAAAACTCAGAGGGTCTACATAGCAGTTACATATCTAATTAAAATAGAAAAATTGTATATTCTTAATGTATATAATTTGTAGAGAAACTGTTTTCAAACATGTTATCTAAAGGGGACAGATAACAAAGGAGTCCTAAGAGGTGAAATCATGCCATGTATTTCTCTAAAAGAGATTGTTAAGCAAAATAAAGAAGTTGCCAGATGACATTTGCTTAAGGAGTTAAGAGTGCTGTTGCACTGTGCTAACAACTCTAGTTAAAGAAGGAGACTAGCTAAATAGGAGACTATTCAATGACAATAAAGGAAGCATCATCAGGACTAGAAACAAGAAAGTTGAAGAAGAAACCATGCAATTCAGGCCTATGTGCAGGAGCAGTTTAAGCAAAATTCTCTAACCTCAAAATGGATGGTGAAGGGGGGCCTGGACATGCATTATGCTTCAAGGCCAAAGTGATCAATGAAGAGATGGACAATTATTATAAAGATTGGCTGAGGTAATATATGTAAGTAAGACATCTGGGAAAAATGTATGGTTCATAAAAATCCTATATAATAAAAGCCTAATATGTTAAGTGTCTGGGCAACCAGTTGGCCGTTCGACCAATCAAAGCACAATATGCTAATGATATGCTAAGGCCACTCAACCACTCGCTATGACATGCACTGACCATTAGGGGGCAGACACTCTGACTGGTAGAGATAAGCCAGACACGTGCTGGAGCCCTCCCCAGCTGGCCAACCTCCCTCGTCCCTCCCTGGCCACAACTGTGCACTGGTGGATCCCTCAGCCTGGCCTGTGCCCTCTCGAAATACAGGACCTCTAGAAAGATGTCAGAGCACTGGTTTCAGCCCAATCCTACAGGCCAGGCCGAGGAACCCCACTGGTGCACAAATTCATCCCCTGGCCTCTACTATAAATATAATGGATATTATTTCATGATTGCATTTAATAATTTTATACATAATTGTGTCAGGGATCTCCAAGATAAGCTTTGAGTTTCATCATTTTTTTAAGTCTCACAGAATTCAGAAAAGCTGTTACCGTTTACACCAAAAGGATATAGATTCACAGTTACCGTTTACACCAAAAGGATATAGATTAAAATCACACCATCCTCTCCCAATGGAGTTTGATATGTATAGCAATGATGTGTGACAACACATGAAGCACATTGCCAACCAGGGCAGCTCACCCAGGCCTGTTGTCAAGAGTATTTGTTGGGGAGGACAGTCCTATAGGCATACACCTCCTGCATGAGCAACCTTAGCTGCTCAGACTCCAGCGCCCCACAGAGGGCCACCTGATACATTGTGTCCCAGTGCCCCAGGAGAACAAAACTAAGTATTCATGCCTTCACCAGTTTGGCTCAGTGGAAAGAGCCTGTAGTTGAAGAGTCCCGGGTTCAATTCCAGTCAACGGCATGTACCTTGGTTGTAGACTGGATCCCCAGACCTGATTGGAGCAAATGTGAAGGCAACCAATTGATGTGTCTCTCTCACATTGATGTTTCAGTCTGTCTCTCTGCCTTCTACTCTCTCAGAAAATTAATGGAATAATATCCTCAAGTGAGGATTAAAAACAAACAAACAAAAATAAACAAACAAAAACAGGTATTCACCATAAATCACATTTTTAGCATTAACTATCTAGCTTGGTCCTAGGTATACAAAGACCCCTTACCAGACAGAACATCCCAAAGGCTTTGAGGTGACCACCCAGGAGTCAGGCAAGGACTAGACTTTCTTTGGAATGCTCAGGGTTTGAGTACTTCAAGCTTGCTGAGTTAATCCTCTAGTCAATAATTTATTGTCCAACTACCATGTGCCAAAAGCTAAGGTAAACATTTAACATATATTATCCTGTTTAATATTTAAACACCCTTTTGAGAAAAAAAATTGACATTCCCTTTTATAAATATGGAAACTGAGTCACAGGAATGTTAGTATTTATAGTCACATAACTAGTCAGCCCCCAAACCTAGCTCTTTCAGACCGTAAAGCCTTTGCTACTTCCACTAGGCCAATTTGCCTCATAAAACATTGTAAAAATTAATATATCATTCAATACAGCATACATATAGGCACATAATATATTTAATAATCAAAATCCCTTCTGGTATAAAAATAATTTAAATAATCACTTTAACTTGTGGAGGAAGTAAACAAGAGCTAGAAGCAAAATGTGTATTTAATGCAGATAGACTAGTTTTCCTTTAAAATATCATTTATTAAAAGGCTATCTAATCATAACCCAGTGATTATAACCAAGTCCAATAAATTTAGCATGGAAGATTTCCTGAGATTTAAAAAATAAACAACTAACTCTTTAAATCCAGTTTTTTTCTTCATACTTCAAGAACTTTTTAATCCCCACTAACATTTGCTGAAATACAGAAATGTCTTACCTAACTATTAAGAATAATATATTTTTTTCTTTGCAGAAATGTATCCCCAGTTCCCTAGGGAGGCAACAATGCCTTCTCATTTTAATGTGTGTGGTTCTTTCCCCCTATCTAATCAGCTAATACTTCTCAAAAGATCTTTTTAATACCTAAATGAAAGGATTGCACATCAAAGACCTGACCTGCCTATTAAAGTATCTAAAGGAAACCCTAGAAATATAAAATCTATTCAAAAGCAAACTGCAGGTAGCTTATTGAACAATGCATTAAGAAAAGAAAAGGGGGAAAAAGCTTCATAAGAGCTGCAAGGAATTTAGTAAAATTATACCACAAAAATACAAACTGATCATAAGTATAAAGAAACAAATTCATAGCCAAAAACTTACTATAAAAATTCTCTGTAATCAGCCAGGAGGGGAGTCTCTATGAAAAACTTTATAATTTGTCACAGTTTCAATAGAAATTTCTGATTACAGTTTAATGTTGGGAAGGCCAAAAAGGGAACAAACCACACATTTTTTAATAGATTCAAAATATGAAATTTTAAAGCTAACTTTCAACATCAGAAAAGGTAGATTTTACTAGACAACAGGAGTGGAATGAAGTAATGAAATAAAAGTATTAATAGATGAGGTAGTATAGATACAAATGCTTTTTAAAAATCAAATTAAATTTTTTAACATACCATGAATGTGGCTCTGAAGTTATTTAAGTCAGTCAAAAAGTCTTCCACAGACACCTTCTTCACGTCAACAGCATAGTATCCCATTATGCTCTGGTATAGCTTTTCCATGTTTTCATGTAACTTTGAAAGATTCTCATACTGTTCCTTTGTACTGATAACAAAGCTGTATATAATAGTTAAGGCATTCTGAAATTTCAAAGTAATGTTTTAGAAAAACACACACCTGTAAGTTCAATGTTTTGTTGTAATTGTTAGCTACTATTACACATCTCCAAAATGCCAAATCACCTCTAACAGTTAACCATTTTTAAAATTCAATCTATACTGTACAGTGGTGAAATCTTAAATTCAATTTCTAATTAAATCAAGCAAAATTATTAGAATAGTTAAATATTTATACATTTAGTATTTCTTTCACAATTGAACTCAAGGAAATTTTTCTTCTAATTTGCCTATCTATATAATACAGACAATGTGATATGATTTAAAATTCTAGATCAGCAGTTGTAACAATATATTTAATGGCAGTGAAGTCAATGACATAGGCATTAAGCACAGCAGTTCAACTGGACAACTGGGGTCAATTTCTAACTGCTAAACTTGGTAGTTCCATTCCTGTGACCAAAATGTCCTCACCTATAAAATGAGAATAACAGTAATATCAATTATCTTAATGAGGCTGTTGTGAAGACTGAGTTAATACATACTGTACAAAGTTCGTAGAAAAATTAATGGCATCTAGAATACATATAAATACTTAGTATTTTATTGCCCGGTTATTCATTGTAAGCTTTGCTTATGGTTGCAAAGACAATCAAAAATAAATTTTTAAAAATTATATTTAAAATTTGGTATTTTATGGAATTAAATTCATGTTTTAATTTATCCTTTGGAAAAGTGGTAGTTTCTCCTATGTATTACCTGATTCAAACTGTGATTATACATACAAACAGAGATGTTATTCTCTCATTTATGACAACTCAGTTCAAAGCACAATGAGACAGAGAAGACTATGTGTATGTAATAGTGGCATCAGAACACATTTTCTAAACAAAGCACAGAATTCTTTTGTGACATTACACATTGCTTAGGCAGTAAAATCACTGTCTGAAAAGGTGACTCTCTTAGCACATCAATCATAATTACATATGGTTCCTTTAAATTGTGGTATTTAAATAAATGGAACACACAGAATCAAACTTACTGAAGTCATCTTACTGTCTCTAACACAAAAGGATAAACAGACATCAGCACACTTAATTAAAAAAAAAAAAAAAAAAGCCAGTTAATAAGAATAACTAGATTGAAAAAAAGAATTTCTGGGGTGGAGTCACCTCTGTCGGTCCCTTCTATAATGCAAAACAATAATGGAAGGTTTATATCTAAAAAAGGAAAATTTGCCACTATTTCAAAATGTTATGTTTCCTGTGGTCAGAGCATTCCCTGGTGGAGGATAAAATAAAGCAACAAATCCAGGCTCTTACCTTTGAGATAGATGAATGAATTAATGAATGAATATGACCAAGGAGAAAGAGGTAGCACTGCAGCCAGATAGTTGGTGAATTCAGGGGACACAGAAAAATTTTAGTAATTAACTCAACCTTCCCACAAGGTACTATGACATCTCAGTCCATCACAAACCTAACCTGTAACCATATCCACATGTTGCCAATTGCTCTTCTATGTCTGTTTCTTTTTTTCTTTTTTCATACTATGCTCCATGTATTTTACAACTAGAGGTCTGATGCACGAATTCGTGCACAGGTGGGGTCCAGCTGGCCCACCCCAATTGGGGCCGATCGAGCCAAGCTGACCAAGGGACAGAGGATGTGGGAGGTTCGTCAGCTAGACCTGCCCCTGATCAGGGTGGGAGGGCCAATCAGGAAAGGGGCTGAGGGCATTTGCCAGACTAGCCTAACCCCTAGTCAAACTCCTGGTCGAGGGGACAATTTGCATATTAGCCTTGTATGGCAAACTCATTAATCAACAGAGCCAAATATCAACAGTACAACGATTGAAATTTCTTTTGAAAGCCAAATTTTTTTAACTTAAACTTCTTCTAACACCACTTCTTCAAAATAGACTCGCCCAGACCATGGTATTTTGTGGAAGAGCCACACTCAGGGGGCCAAAGAGCCAGATGTGGCTCGTGAGTCGCAGTTTGCCAACCACGGTCATAACATATACGAAGTCTGAATTCTAATGCAAGAGCTAATTTATTTTAATGGCCTTAAGAAAATCAATAAATCTTTCTGTGGCTCAGTTTACATTCAACTAAATGGCAAAATGCTCCTTTATACTTTCTAGAATGTAGATCACAAAACTACCAGTGAATGATGCATTTATATGTGGTATCTTTTTTAATTCTTATATGAGCAATAAAACTTTCTTATAATTAGTAAAATCACAAGGAATTATAACAATACTAGAGGCCTGGTGCACGAAATTCATGCACAGGGGGTGAGGGGTGGAAAGGGTCCCCTCAGCCCAGTCTGCATCCTCTCCAATCTGGAACTCCTTGGGGGATGTCCAACTGCCATTTATTTCTTGTGGGATCGGGCCTAAGCCAGCAGTCAGACATCCCTCTCACAATCTAGGACTGGTGGCTCCTAACTGCTCTTCCTGCCTGCCTGCCTGACTGATTGCTCCTAACTTGCTTCTTGACCGCCCCCTAACTGCTCCCTTGCTGGCCTGATTGAAACCTAACTGCTCCCCTGCCAGCCCAATCACCCCTAACTGTCCTCCCATGCCTGCCTGTTTCCAACTCCCCTCCCCTGCAAACCTGGTCGCCCCCAACTGCCCTTGCCTGCTGGCCATCTTGTGGCAGCCATCTTGCGATGATATCACATGAGGGAGCGAGGGCCACCTAAGCTTTTATTAGTATAGATCACATATGTCAAACACAAGGCCCGCGGGCCAAATCCGTCCCGCCAGGCCTTGCCATGTGGCCCGCACCGCGCTGTCAACACTGCACTCCGCTGCGTTTCCATCACAATGACAGTTTATGACTGTTCAGTAAACCATTCGGCCCGCGATTTAGGCTGGATTTTAGATTTTGGCCCCTTCTCTGATTGAGTTCGACACCCCTAGAGATAGTCAGACAGAACAAATTGCCATATATTTTGTCTTGTAAAATATCCATATTCCATAAAATGCTGTGGGTAAAATGAACAAATGTAAATAAAAAATACATTTACCATACATACAGAAACTATTAGATGGAACAAATGGTGACTTAATTGTAAAGTGAAATAATTTAATATAATAAGTTCAGAAATCAACATTGGTTTATTCAATCTATAAATTCTTATGTAAAACTCTTAATGTTCCTGATAGATAAAGCAATCCTGTATCCACATGGATTATTTATATAGTATTCTTAATTCCTATCTACTCTTTCAAGTTCAAACCTACCATTCAAGGCTTCACTAAATTCTTCTTCCATGAAGCTTTCTTCCTTACAGCTATGAGTGATCATTTTTCCCATTGAATACATACAGCATTTGTAGTAAACGGTACTCGTCTGTAATGATGTTGTGAATTGTCCTTTCTAATCCAATTCCTTAGTAGTGCTTTGTTCTCGCCCCATTTATGGGGTGTAGTCACCTCTGTCAGTTCCTTCTCTAATGCTGTGCCCCACCTTCTTAGTTGTATTAAGTCTAACCATTTACAACTATTAGTACATTGGTGCCAGTTACTTAATTCACCCTAGTGTCATCTTTTTTGAACTTGAGTGAGAAGGGTAACAGGCCTTCTCACAATTCTGATGGAAGACTGCACATAAATGCATTCTTACACACACAATATAGGTGTAATTAAGAGCTAAGAGAGGCCCTGAACAGCTGTTAACCTGAACAACAGGTTATCCTGTTACCAAAAGTGTTTCTAACTGTATGGTTACTATTTTTCTGCCCGTATCAGTGCTTATAAGGCTTTAAGCTTTAAAAACAGGCACTTCACAAATCCTAGTAATTTTATTCGGGTGGGAATATCTCTAGTCTCAAGAATTAATTTGGTAAACAGATTAAATTAAAGCTATTAATATTATCCAATGCATTTTTTAAAAAAATTTCAGATACAAAGCAAAAGTTAATGAAATATTTGGGAAATGCTGGGCATACTTAATCAAAACAGTATAATTCTATTTAAAAACGCAATGAGAAAGACTAAGAGTCAAAATCCATTAAAATTACATGGTCTTATTCTAAAACTAGAGAGCTTTATAAGTTAACTAGAAGCTCTATGCACGAAATCATGCACCAATGGGGTCCCTCGACCTGGACTGTGGGATCAGGCCGAAACTGGCTGTCCTACATCCCCCAAGGGGCCCTGGATTGCAAGAGGGTACAGGCCAGGCTGAGGGAAGCCACCAGTGCACAATCAGGACCGAGGAGGGATGTGAGAGATTGGCCAGCCACAGAGCAACAGTGGGAGGGCTCCAGGGCATGTCAGGCCCATCTCACTCAGTCCCAATCAGCCAGATCCCAGAAGCAAGCTAACCTACCGCTGGAGCATCTGCCTCTTGATGGTCAGTGCACATCATAGCGACTGGTCAACCAGTAGACTGTATGCCCCCATGATGTTAAAACATGTCATAGCAAGTGGATAAGCAGCCTTAGTATATCATTAACATATTATACTTTGATTGGTTGAATGGATAACCAGACACTTAGCATATTAGGCTTATATTATATAGGATTATCTTATAATTGTTATCTATAAACAATGTGCTCCAAAGGGAAGTAGAGCTTTGAATAATTGGAATTACCAATGAGATTGATAAAATTGTGATTAAACTGAAACAATTTTGGAAATAGCCAAATTCTTAGAAGGTTAAAATGATTTTCTAATAGGATGGGATAAATGATTAGATTAATGAGGTCTCTAAGTTATTATTGATGGACTACTCATTAAGAGATGATGGAATATTCAGACAGGAAAAAAAAACAAACCCAAAAACCCACAAATACACATCATTATCATCATCCAAAAGAGAAACTAAATGAAGATGTTCTTGTGCTAATTGTTAAACTGCAGATAAAAGTACGGTAATACCCATTTTAGTAGTAGTAAGGTTTTATTTTTCCCCAAGCTCCTTATAAAGAGCTTTAAAGAAACAGGTGAGCTTTTATACACAATAAATATTTAATAAAATTCATTAGAAAAATATTGGTATTCATCTAGTCACTTGTTATTTTTATAAAATCTGTTTTCTATTCCTTTACTAGGACAAAGGACAAATTCTCATTAATTTCTATATCAAAGACAGTAATTGTCCCATTAGAAAGGTGTGTTGACAAGCAGACCTGTGTTCACATGTGTTGAATTACAAATATTTAGTGTTGGCCAACTAAGTAGTAAGACAAAGATTTAGGACTCAACTTCTGGTCAACAAGTATAGCTTATTACTAAACTACCTGGCACTAATATATTCTATGGGTGTATTTTTATTTATTTATTTAAAATGGATCTGCATTGTTTGAAAGTATTACAGAAGTTCTCTTCTTTCCCCCATTGACTTTCTTACCCTGCTCCCAACCTTCAGGCTTTCACTGCACTACTGCCTATGTCCAAGGGTTATGTATATGCTTTGCCCTCATTATTATACTTTCCCACAAAAGATATCTATTACTTCCACTAACACATTTGATATGGATCAGCTTCAATCAGTTATATATATCCAATACCTTTTATATATCTTATTAATTACCCAGACATCCAGCCGCCAATCTATAAGTATTCACTGAACTCCACTGAATTCCCCTCTTTTGGGCACTAGGGAAAGTAGTAGTTAACAAGATAAGCAAAATCCCTCCTTTTGTGAAATCTAGTGATAAAACACACACACACACACACACACACACACACACACACACTAAGTAAATGAGATATTCAGACAGAGGTAAGTATGATGAAGAAAAAGTTTTGTGATGTTATGTAGAGTGACAGATGCTAATTTACATTGGGCTCCAGGGAAGTCCTAAGGTGACATTGACAGAAGTAACTGAGGCTTGACAGTAAAACAGCAGTACATGTGAAGTTGTGTAATAACCTTTGTGAATGTCCTAAGATTTCAGAGAAGAAAAAGATGCATATAAAATTGAAGATTCACAGAGAATGGGGAGCAGGGTATTTTAACCCAAGTCTTACAAGCTTATTAAGAATGGATTACATGCTGAAACCGGTTTGGCTCAGTGGTAGAGCGTCGGTCTGCGGACTGAAAGGTCCCAGGTTCGATTCCGGTCAAGGGCACGTCCATTGGTTGCAGGCACATCCCAGGTAGGGGGTGTGCAAGAGGCAGCTGGTCAATGTTTCTCTCTCATCAACGTTTCTAGCTCTCTATCTCTCTCCCTTCCTCTCTGTAAAAAAAATTAATTAAATTAAATTAAATTAAATTAAATTAAATTAAAAGAATGGATTTCATAGAAGATAGTCAAGTGATAAAGGAAGGAAGGAGAGAGCAAAATAATTAAAGAAAGAAAAATCTGCCCTTACAAATCACACAGTTACCCAACTTTTCACTCCTGCAAATGGACCGTGTATAATACAAACTTACATTTCAGCCATTCCACTCTTCTGTTTTATTTACTCACTTTAGTTCAATTAAATAAAAATGTACATCATTCTTTTACCTGAAAAATGCTATACTTTATGTAATGTTGGATATAGATAAGATGTCTTTTTTTGAAGGAATTTATTGAGATAGTTTCAGCATCTTCATAGAAGTATCAGAAGTGATTAAAACATTGCTATATAACAACAATAAAAAGGAAGTGCAGAATAAAAGCAGGATTGCAATGAAGAAATTTAAAGAATATAACATAGGAAAGAGTCAAGTAACTTGTTATATAAAATTTAATATTATTCACATATAATAGTTTGTATATAACAATATATATGGCACCCACCTCGAACATGTGTTACATATTTTTCAAGCAAATATTTACATTGGTATTATTCAACTCTAAATATATTTCTAAGCAGGTTTAGCAATTGGAAAGTAACATTATTATTATTATTAAAAGTCAATGTGGTGTGGACTGTGCTTCTCAGTGGTTTAGCATTGACCCAGGAACCAGGAAGTCATGGGTTCAATTCTGAGTCAGGGCACATAACTGGGCTAAATCCCCAATAGGGGGCATAGAATAGGCAGCAGATAGATGCTGTTTCTCACTCATTGATTCTTCTATCTCTCTATCCCTTCCCCTTCCTCTCTCTCTAAAATTCAATAAAAACATATTAAATATTTTTCTTTAAAAAAAAGTCAATGTGCTATCTCTGAAATAATTGTGCAAAGCCTTTAAAGATGTACTAAATTAACATTTTTAAATATTAAGTAGTATATGTAAAGAAAGCATGCACTGGAAAAATAAAAATACAATCCCATATAATAATCCTATATAACAAAAGGCTAATATGCAAACTGACCAAAGAGTGAAAAGATTGGTTGCTATGACACACACTGACCACCACGGGGCAGACGTTCAGTGCAGAAGCTGCCCCCCAGTGGTCAGTGAGCTCCCACAGGGGGAGCCTTTCCTGCTTCTGCAGCAGCACTAGGTATGTCCTACTGATGGCTCCCAGGCTGACAGACAGCCCCACCCGAGTGCCCAAATTTCGTAAACCAGGCCTCTGGTATACTATAATTGAACACTATTAGTAAAATTTCCTATTATAACAAAAATTCTATCATAATTTAAGAATATTTGATTAACACCTTAATAGTTCACTAAATTATGATTTTTACTTTAAATATCCAGTTGTAATAATGCAGCATTCTTAACAACTTGGTCAATATACATATTCTTCCAGAACAGGTTGAGGAATCACATATTTGATATGTGCTTCAACTAATAAGCACTAAAATTTAAAACAAAGTTTGAGCATTAATAACCCAAATTTTAATTAAATATATTTTTATTCATTGTGCATTTTCATTTCCATATTCTTGCATTTTCTAAGATCTAAGCAGCTCATAATTTGCCATTTTAATAAGATCTTATAAATGCATTTAATATTCAAGATCTGATTTGTTGTCAGTCCTAATTAAAGTAAACAAAGCTTCACAATGAATGAATTTAATTACCTTGAAACTAGTATGTCTAAGAGGAAAAGCAAACGAGTGCAATCTAATCTCAGCAAGTATATTTATGATCATAAGCTCTGTCAATAGCAAAGTGCACCAACTGTTCATATATCTGACTTCCAAGAGATACATGAATGCTAATCAGTTCATTAGAGGCTTCTAGGTTGTGATATTTAGCAACAGGATATAGTAGCTTTCATGTCCATGGAGTATAATTGTACTCAGAATAAAAAACTGTTTCCAACAAAGCATCATCCTTCCTATTTTTCTGATTTCCTGCTAGTATTTTTTATGAGTTGCATACTTTTTAAGAAGGAGACATCATTCAGCTTCTTGTATCACATGAATACAAGTACTAATAGGTCCAGAGATCACCTGCTAAGCATGACTCTGCTACACAGGCTCTCAGCTCAGGAATTCATCCTAAGTTACATGTCCTAGAAACCCAACTTGCATAATTAGTACACTCACAATGGATTACCAGAGACTCTATACAAGCAAAAACTTTTCTAAAACGCTTTCTATCAGTAAAGAACAATAATAAATACTTCCATTAATAGGACTTAATGATTACAATAAACTGGCACATATGACTATTTTAACATGATAGAAATGATTGAGAAAAAAAACCAAGAATGGTAAAATTAATAAAACTGTGCTATAAAAAAATTTACAAATTAATTTTGAAAACCATATGTTGCCAAATGAGAAGGAACTGCAAAATATACTTTTGATAAATATATTTCATTTTTAGTTTTAAAAAAATAACCATATCTAGTAGAGTGATAATAATGCCCTGTCTTATAAAAATAAAGAAACTGGATAGGTAGGAAAGATAGGAAAGAAAATAAATACATTAGTCAGAACTGATTGTTGCTGAGTGGATTTTTATGATATTTCTCCAAAGATACTGTAGAGATAGCTAAAATTGAACTAATTCACGATTAAGCTGAAAGTATATACAAAAAAATCTATGACAAGCCAAATAATAATTTTGTGATATGCCAAGTCTCAGGAGAGATATTAGAAAGAGGAAAAGTAGTTATTTTATTTCAAGTAACTCAGCTTAAAATAAATATTAGGAGTGTGTATTTATAAGAACTCATTTTAAAAATGGGTTATCCTTTCATGTATAATTCTGAAGTCCATATGGAATTTTAATAATGCATAGTAGCAATACTTTATTATAACACAAAAGATATCAGTCTCTAATTTTACAGAATGGTTTGCAAAGCAACTCAACATTAGTTTCAGGAAATAAAGTTTATTACTTCAATTACTCATTAGAGATTAAGCCACCAAGTTAGCAAAATCAAAGATAATTGAATTCAAAAGAAACCTTATGTTAAGCAGAACACAAGCCTCATGCTACTGATTTTCTATAAGTATGTATACACACATATATGTCAATTTTATTTTAGGTTTGGAGAATATCTGCGCAAATAGTGATTGTGACAAACTCAATTTTGATTATTGAACTATGTAGTATTTCTAAAGAAAATAGAAAATTTCTGGAACACAAGTTAAATTTTAGCATAGGACGAGCCTTGAAATTAAGCTGATTACTCACACCAGTTTATGCTCTTTATCCTGAAACATTTCAAAATATCAAAATCACATCATGTTAGATTCAAAATTCCTCAATTCGAGTTTTCATATCCTTTTAATCTACCATGAACTTCAAAAGGAAAATGGATATTTGGAAGGGATAAGGTGAGAAAAAATATTGTTCAAGTTGATAAGAAGGGGAAAAATGGAAATCAATAAAATACATTTCAGTATTGTTCAGATAAACACTTTGATAGATTTCCCTGCAAGAAGGTAAAGATTAAGTCTTTATGTGGTACTACAGAATGATCTCTGGTTATACAAATGTACTTCAAATGTTAAAATAATTTGTAATTCTATTTGACTAGTAATTTATTTAGATATCAAAAGGATATGGACATCTTTGTCACAAACTTATCATGCACGTCCTCAGGAGGGGGAAAGGTTTCCAAATCTCTCTCAATCTGTTGAAGCTGCCTTCCCATCTGCTTCAGATTCTTTTCCAGCATTTCTACAGAGACTGAAAGAGAGTATATTAAATGCCTTAAAAGGACAAAATTATAATATATAAAAGGTAAAACACTCTAAAAACAAAATATTTGTGAAAAACCTTACAATAAAGTAAAAAATTTATTATAATAAAGGGAAGGTAAAAATCAGTAAACTTGTTAAAACTTTCAATTTTTAAATCCTGGAATAAAGTAAATTTATTAAAGTGTCTTTAAGACATTAGATAAAATTTATAGCAAACCACATGAACAAACGGTATTTAGAAAATGTGTTTAAAATTAAAGTTCTTAAGATTAAAAATGGTAGCAGAGAAAGTGGATGCTGCACAAACATGCTCTCAGGAACAAGCTATAATTACAACTGAAATACGGAAAGTTTTCAGGAATAATCAACAAAAAACTCACAGGAGAGAACCCTGATACCCTGGGGCTGAAGGTGGAGAAGGCATACAGACTGATACGAGAGGGAGAGGCATGAAAGGGCAGGCTGGACACTCACAGAATTGAAGTCCTGGAGAAATATATCAGCTTTTGGGGGAGAGTACCACGCACAACTCTGGAATCTAATACCCACACTGGGCTCCCTAGCAGAGAGCACAAAATCTGAGGAGGGTACCCAAATAGCATCTATCTGTAAAAAGAGTGGGGTGAGTTTGCAAGGAAGTGGCAGCTGAAAGTTTGTGCATTACCTTGAAGGGCCAATGCATAAAAATCCCCTGTGGAGCCACCCACCTTGTGCCTCTGGCAGAGGGAGGTGCAGCGGACTAGAGAAGTGAGAGCAGAGCCCAGGACTGGAGACTCCGAGAATAGAGCTCAGAAGGAAGATATTCCAAGTTTCCTGGGCCAGCAGCACAGAACAACTTTCACACATAGACATTTGCCTTGCCTGGGGGGAAGACAGTCAACACACCCTATTGGAAAACATCTTACCTTGAGGCCACTTAAGATTTAAAAGTAACAATCAGCCTATAGGCAGAAGCAATTGCCTCATCCCTTTGAAAAAACTCTCCCCACACCTGAGGATGACTGCCTGGTGCAATTCAAGTCAGAATCCTATAGTCTGTAAGCAGAGGCATCTCTGGCGGCCCTGAGTCTTGGTCTTATCCAATTAGTCAGAAACAGCCTTTAATACTGTCCTGCACTAGATAGAGATTGAGAGGTGTAGAGAATCTACCTAAAACATAGTCACAAACTCAAACAGACAACCATAATGAGAAGACAAAGAAACAACCCCCAAATAAAAGAACTAGAGAATTCTCCAGAAGAAGACATAAATGAAGCAGAGCTAAGAAATTTATCTGAAACAGAGTTCAGAGTAATGAATTATGTAAAAATGGTAAAAATGCTCTCAACACTATGAAAAAAGATATAATAACTATGAAAAAAGAACAGTCTGAGATAAAGAATGACAAAACACAAATAAAGAACACACTGGGAAGAATACACAGCAGAGGAGGGGAAGATGAAGGGTGAGTCATATTAAATGCCTTAAAAGGACAAAATTATAATATATAAAAGGTAAAACACTTTAGAAACAAAATATTTATGAAAAAGGTACACAGTTTTCATATCCTTTTGATCTACCATGAACTTCAAAAGGAAAATGGACATGTGGAAGGGACAAGGTGAGAAAAATATTATTCAAGTTGATAAGAGAGGGGAAAAATGGAATAAGAAGACAGACTTGAAAATATCACTCAATCAAAGAACCAAAAATTTTTTTTAATTAAAATTTTAAAAAAGTATACACACACACACACACACGCACACACACACACACAAACACACTTCTAGAGGACTTTAATGGAGAGATTGACAACAATATAATCACAGCTACTAACTTCACTGGACAGATCTTCCAGACAAAACTTAACAAAGAAACAGAGACTCTAAAGGACACACTGGATCAGATGGATTGCATAGAAACTGTAGAACATTTTACCCCAACGCAGTAGAATATATATTCTTCTCAAGTGTACATGGATCATTCACAAAGACAGACCATATGTTAGAACACAAAACAAGTATCTACAAGTTTAAGAAGATTGAAATCATATCAAGCATCTTCGCAGATGCTTGAGAATGGAATATAATTAGAAATCAACTACAGTAAAAACAACAAAAAACATTCAAACATATGGAGGCTAAATAACATATTATTAAACAATGAATGGGTTACCAAAGAGATCCAGAAAGAAATAAAAAAAAAAAACTTCCTGGATACAAATGAAAATGAACATACAACAACCCAAAATCTCTGGGACACAGCAAAAGCAGCCCTAAGAGGGAAGTTCATAGCACTCAATATGTAGGCATGGTTGATTAAATCATTGTTCGTTACTGATTAAGCTCAATCTCCACCTCCTCTCTCCCCTCCCTGAAGATCAGAGAGTGGACTGATAATTCTAACCTTTAAACCACATGGTTGGTATCTCTGACCAACAGCACCCCCAACCCTCCAATTCTGAAACATCCCGGTTACCCCTCCCCACCATCTGTAGGTGAATTATCTCATTGCATAGAAAATAGACTATTGCTTAAGAAACTTCAAAGGTTTTAAGAGCTCTATGTCAGAAACCAGGAAAAAGCCCAAATATTTTTTATTATACCACATGGATGGAGAAGTGCCTGGTCAGAGGGCAGAACTCCAGTAGCTATGATGAGGCGTAAGAGAAGTACATTTCTGATTCATGAGTGGTCATCCTCAGTGCGGTCAAAGGCCTGGGCTGCCCTCTGAGGAGGCCAGCTACTTGTAACTGAACACGAAGCCATTCCAGTGAGTGAGCGCTTCTCAGAGGGCTGAGAGAAGACAGGCTTAAGGTTCACATGAAAGGCTTCTTAGATGATCTTTTGAGCCTTTCCAACTCCTTGGTAGCCTGTGGGTCAGCAACTATGTCCTATCATTGTGATTTTAAGCACCTTTTTAATGACCCCAGTTTCAACATCAGTGAAATGGGGAGAATCCCACCTTATGTTTTTTTACCTCACAGATATTTCATAAAAGATCATATGTTATAACATAGGATGAAGAATTTTTTTTAATGGAGTATACTATGCAGTGCTACTCTTATTCTTAGAACAGTAAGTAATGAAGAGATTAACAATTGAAGTCATTAATATTACAATCAAAGTGAAAGTAAATCACCATCATCATGCAGGGAAAACAGTGCTATGGAAGTCAGGCCAAAAAGAAAAGTTGCTAATTTCAAGGGTAAAATATTAGTAATGTCTGCGGCATATTCAAACATTTAAGGTTAACATCATAAAAAGTAAGCCACCTGAAAGAAATGGTTCTTTGGCTACTCTACAGATGAAAACCCCACGAAGCTATGACTCACGCTTCATCAGCAGTCTCCAAGCACATTACCTGCACATTATAGTTAAGAGGACTTAAGCACAATTGATCAATTTTTCACTGGTGGTTTTTAAATAAAGACCAAAGGACAATTGGAAGAGAGAAAGGCAAGTGCAAATTCTAGGCTAATCTATCTACATAACAGAGTAACATGCTAACTGACTGTCAATTACCATGACAATCACCAGCCAATTAGGAATATGCAAATTAACCCAACAATTATGGCCAGTTATTCTGCATACGTGGGCAGGGTGGGACACCTGTGTCATCACCATGGCAATGAGGCAGGCATTCTGCACCACCCCAGCCACTCCTGGCCTCTGGGTAGCATGGGGAGGAGGAAAGGCAGATCTTTCCCCTCCAGGCTGGAGCAGAAAGGCGGCTCTGGGCCAGAGGGGAAAGGCGGTGCCAGCAGCCAGGGAAAGGAAGGCCCATTCTTGCATAAATCTTCCTGCATCAGGCCCCTAGTATATATTTAAAACTGAATGTAAGAACAACTGAACAACCAGTCGCTATTGCGTGTACTGATCATCAGGAGGCATGTGCAAAACATGGCAGGCGTTAGTCATGGCAGGATGGTGGAGCAGGTAAGCAGAGACACCAGAACAAGGTGGAGTGCCAGTCACTGTCATCAGAGCAATGAATTTTCATTTTTTAATGAAAATTCATTGCTCTCGCACACAGTGGTCCTGCCTGGCATTCACACTTGCTATTGTCACTGGCTCCACTTGCACCTGCAGTTGGCACCCCGTGCTGGCCCCGATCACTTGGCATTGTCAGTGAGTGCGAGTGGTGGCTGCCAGTCCTGATCACCCCTCAGGGCTTCCCCACAAGCCCCTGCTCCTGATGGGTGATGAGGGCTGGCAGCAATAGCCCCGCTTGCACCCACTGACTGTACCACAGCCATCAATCACACTCATTGCAGGCCCAGCTCACACCCACTGCTGATGCAGGCCCCAATCGCTCCGATCGGACAATGGGTGTGAGCAGGACTGGTACCATCAGGGCGTGGCAGCAGGAGGGGCTGCCAGCAGACAAGGGACCCAGTGTCGTAGCAGGAGGTGTCCTGGAGGATGGGCCTAGATCTGCCCCTGTTCCCATTGTAGCCTCAAAGCAAAAATTTGTGCACTGGGCCACTAGTAAAATATAATCTACTGCTTTCTCCAAAGATCCACATTCACTCATTGAATATGAACATGCATGAAACAACATGGGTATATAACACATGCAAAACTTTTCAATGAACCCAGCACTGATGAAAATTATTATATCTGTAAATAACAGCATATTTAGGTGTTGCTTAGGGCAGAAGGGGTGGACAATGAAGGTTCGCTATTACTAAGAATGGTAAGTTTACCTCTTTTATTATTACTAATTATCTATATCTTGGATCTGTAAAATATTTCATATTATATCTTATCATGCAGTTTTCATATATTTGGAAACACACATTGTAAAATTGATAAAATGTGTGCATGTACACCTGAAATTATGAAGCATCAAGATAAATAATTTCATAAATATTTTGATTTAATGCATCTGATCAATATTGTTATATATTTTCATGTATATACTAGAGGCCAAGTGCATGAATTCATGCATGGGTGAGGTCCCTCTGGGTGGCCTGTAGGGATCAGGCCAAAACCCACAGGTCCA